CATCCATCCACATAATCCATCATCCATCAACCATCCATCTCATCATCACATCCATCCATCCAAATCCTCATCCATCCATCACATCCATCAATCCATCATCATCCATCATCATCCATCATCCATCCATCACCATCCATCATCCATCCATCCATCCATATCCATCATTCCATCCATCATCCATCATCATCCATCCATCATCCATCATCCATCATCATCCATCCATCATCATCATCCATCCATCATCCATCATCATCTATCCATCATCATCCATCCATCATCATCATCCATCCATCATCCATCATCCATCCATCCATCCATCATCCATCCATCCATCCATCATCCATCATCCATCATCCATCCATCATCCATCATCCATCCATCATCCATCATCATCCATCCATCATCCATCCATCATCCATCCATCCATCATCCATCCATCCATCATCCATCATCCATCCATCATCCATCCATCATCCATCCATCCATCATCCATCCATCCATCCATCCATCATCCATCATCCATCCATCCATCATCCATCATCCATCCATCATCCATCCATCCATCATCCATCCATCATCCATCATCCATCATCCATCATCCATCCATCCATCCATCATCCATCCATCATCCATCCATCATCCATCCATCATCCATCATCCATCCATCATCCATCATCCATCATCCATCCATCCATCCATCATCCATCATCCATCCATCATCCATCATCCATCCATCATCATCCATCCATCATCCATCCATCATCCATCCATCCATCCATCATCCATCATCCATCCATCCATCCATCATCCATCCATCATCCATCCATCATCCATCATCATCCATCCATCCATCCATCCATCCATCCATCCATCCATCCATCCATCATCCATCCATCATCCATCCATCATCCATCATCATCCATCCATCATCCATCATCATCCATCCATCATCCATCCATCATCCATCCATCCATCATCCATCCATCATCCATCCATCATCCATCATCCATCCATCATCCATCCATCCATCATCCATCCATCCATCCATCCATCATCCATCCATCATCCATCATCATCCATCCATCCATCCATCCATCCATCCATCATCCATCCATCATCCATCATCATCCATCCATCCATCCATCCATCCATCATCCATCCATCCATCATCCATCATCCATCCATCATCCATCCATCCATCCATCCATCATCCATCCATCATCCATCATCCATCCATCATCCATCCATCCATCCATCCATCCATCCATCATCCATCCATCATCCATCCATCCATCCATCCATCCATCCATCCATCCATCCATCATCCATCCATCCATCCATCCATCATCCATCATCCATCCATCCTGTACGTCTGCAGGTTGTCCATGCTGTCTCCATGTTCAGACGATGGACCCTCAGAACTCTGGAAGAACCTAACCCTGCTTCACCAGAACCAGAACCTCTGGCCCAGCTAACAGAGGTGCTGGAGTAAAGAGCCAGAATCCAGATGTTGGTCAGAAAGGTTGTTGGTCCTTCTTGCTCCTGAAGAGGCTCTGCTCTGTGATGGTCTGTCGTCATCTGGATCTTCAGCCATCATCAGTCTCTAACCAGGACTGACAGAACAGAACTGTTTACTAGACTTTACCTCCTGATCAGGAGATGTTGGACCTGATGCGAGGGTCCGGCCTTTTAGGAGGACCCTGATTCCAGACTGACTGCCAACACAGAGGGATCCGGGTTCTGACTGACCCGGTCCGATCCATTCTATTCATGTTCTGTCCTTCATGAGGGGAGGTGATGATGCACGGTCAGAACGTCCATCTTTCCTCTTTTCCTGCTCTGCTTGTATCCAGCTTTCTGAAAAGCTTCAGGTGAAATGTCAGAAGCTGAGCTTCTGTTTGGGTCCAGAACTTTGTTAATTCAGCTTGTTAAACCCAAACTGTTTTCTGCAGGATCCTGGTTTGGATCAGAACCAGCAGCCTCCTGGGCCGTCGATTACTGGGAGCCAGTGAAGTGAGAGACTGAAGCAGAGTCAGAAAAACTTTCTGCAAATGGAGGGTGTGTGTTCAGTATGTATAATGGATCAGCCCTGAGGGCAGCCTGCGAGCCCGCGGCTCGGCACACACACCGACACACACCGCCGCACACCAGCAGCACTGCAGCGCTCCCTGTTTGGGCCATTAGCTGCAGGGTAGATCTATAATGTATGTGTCTGTGTGTGTGTGTTCAGGTAAGTAACATCCATTAGTAAGTTTCTCCTCATAAAATGGATAAACACACACAGACAGAAATGCTAAAGCTCCTAGCTACAGCCGCTACAGAGCATCACTGGCTGCATCCTCCTGACTGATCTCTGAACCATTGACTCCCCGTTCAGTTCTTGAGGCCACCGCCTGCTGATCTGATTACTGATCACATGATCGATGGGTCAGTCAGGGTGCCAGAGCAGGAAGAGAGCGTCAGAAAGAACTGGCTTAGCAAGAACTAGCAGGAACAAGTTAGCTGCAGAGGATCCAGATGGAAGCAGAACTCCAGTCTTTGGAGGTTGTTACCATCAGTGAGTTCAGAGGAGGAATGGAGGTAACGTCTGGACAGGGGAGGATGATGGCGAGGGAAACTTCAGACCATGATCCCAAAACGGTAAAGCTAAAGTCCCTAGAAATATGGAAAGCACCTCTGCAGACAACCTGTGTAAAAGAACAGGTGGGAATCGAACGGTCGCTTCAAGAAGCCGAGTTATATAGACAGGAAACATCATCAACTCGTCAGACAGGAAACATCATCAACTGGTCAGACAGGAAACATCATCAACTGGTCAGACAGGAAACATCATCAACTGGTCAGACAGGAAACATCATCAACTGGTCAGACAGGAAACATCATCAACTGGTCAGACAAGAAACATCATCAACTGGTCAGACAGGAAACATCATCAACTGGTCAGACAGGAAACATCAACTGGTCAGACAGGAAACATCATCAACTGGTCAGACAGGAAACATCAACTGGTCAGACAGGAAACATCATCAACTGGTCAGACAGGAAACATCATCAACTGGTCAGACAGGAAACATCATCAACTGGTCAGACAGGAAACATCATCAACTGGTCAGACAGGAAACATCAACTGGTCAGACAGGAAACATCATCAACTGGTCAGACGGGAAACATCATCAACTGGTCAGACAGGAAGCATCATCAACTGGTCAGACAGGAAGCATCATCAACTGGTCAGACAGGAAGCATCATCAACTGGGCGGTAGAAACATCGGACTGGCTCCTTCTAGCATCTCCGACCCTTTGCTTCATTACCCTGAGCTAATAAAACTTAGGCTAACTGGCTGGTTGCCATGCCAACCAACATTCATTAGGATTACGGGGGAAGGAAATAAGATCTGTTGATGTAGACATCAGCGCCTCCTTGCTGGTCCTGACGCATCCAATCGCTTTACGGACGGTGGACTGCGGCGGGCAGTTATCTGAGCTGCTGAAGGAGGTCAAAGCCTCGTCAGATTCTCTGGAGCAAAACCAGCTGACCTTGGCCTCCTGAGAAGGTGGAGGACATGGTGGACCTTGCCTCCTGCTCCAGTCCAACAGGTCCTCCACCTCCATCCTGATCCTGGGGAATCTGCTCCACCACTACTGGGTCATCTCCAGATGGAGAAGATCATCCATCAGAGGGGCCCAGAGATGGTGAAAGTCCAGGTGGCTAGAGTCCGATTGGTCAGAGGAGCATCCAGATGTTAGCCAGGGTTAGCATAGTATGGTCCGACTCCTGCGGTGTTTGATGCTAGCTGTGTGTCTCTTAAGAGTAGCTCAGAGTAGCTTTGCCTCGTCTGTTCCTGTTTGGCTGTGACGTCATCCTGGAAAGAAACATCAGCTGTGCTGCTTCTATCAACACCCTTGTTTATAGATGTTGGAGATCGGCCTTTTTTCCAGTGTGGTCCTGTTTCTCTGACCGTGACTGAGTGGATGTGCTCTCTTCATCCTCTGGCATGGGAGCTGCCTTGGAGCTCGTCTGCCTGGCTGTGTGTTTCCTGGACGGGGCCGCCTTTTACAGTTGCCTTTTGTATCTATGCTTCTTTTTCTATGTCTGCTTCTGTCTCCTTGAACCCCAGTCGGCCTCGGCAGATGGCCGCTCACACTGAGCCTGGTTCTGCTGGAGGTTTCTTCCTGTTAAAAGGGAGTTTTTCCTCTCCACTGTCGCTACAAGCATGCTTAGTGTGGGGGATTGTATTTGAGTCAATGCAATCAACTGGTTTTCCTTAGATAGAAAACTTTGTATCAATTTGACTGTATGATCTGGTTGAACTGTAAAGTGCCTTGAGATGACATGTGTTGTGAATTTGGCGCTATATAAATAAACTGAATTGAAATTGAATTAAGGTACTACCCAGTGACACAGTGGACTGAGGTCCAGGAAGTAAAGGAAGGCAGACTGACAGCAGTGCTTCTCCCGGTTGGACCAGAGCAAAGGATGGAGGGATGGCATCTACAGAAGAGTCCTGATTGTTGGTCTGGATCCACATTACAGCCCACCTTCTTCTCCATGGGGTCGTCCCCAAAGGGTAAAACATCTCAGAACTGTCAGCGTACCAGAGGACTGTCCTTCATGCCCCTTGGTACCGCTGCTCACCACGGATGATGGTTCCGGAACGCCGGTACCACATCCAGAGAGAGGTGTAGTCCAGGTGTCTCTGGACCCTAATGAGCTCAGCACTTGGACTGGACCCATTATCAGACATCTGTGGCTTTGACTGGTCGATATTCAGGCAAAGCTTCCTACAGGATAGGTTTGTTGGAAGCAGAACTTGTGAAGAGAAGCGTTTAGGAACGGAAATCAGAACAGGATCAAACACGAGATGGACCCAACTGTTGGGGTTAGCATGGCTGGTTGGTCCACATCATCTGAGGAAGCAACCTTCACCCAAACACCTTTTCTGGTTTCAGAACACATCAAAGCTACAGCCTGAACCGTTTCTACGCCCCATCGTTCTCACCTCATACTCCTCCTTGAACCCGTAACCTTCAGCACATTTCATCTGGGTGATGTGCTGCAGGAGGTCGGCCACCCGGATGGCCGGATGCAGCTGGCCCGTCTGGTACGGCAGCGCCTCCCGCTCCGCCTCCCGCTGCTTGTAGTGGGACTGGACCAGGCTGCTGGTTTCACTGGTCTTAGTGTGGCTGCTGTCGTCTGAAGAACAACAGAGGAAGGAGAAGATGCGGGTGAGACAGAAGGTAACTGGAAAGGGTTTGGACACAGGATGGACTGGAGCAGGCTGAGAGATAAAAGCATGATCTAGCCGGTCGGAGCAGATCCAGTTAGGAGGTCTGAGTTCATTGTTGGAATATTCAAGCTGCCTTCTGGACAGACTCTGACTGGCTGAAAGTTGGATCCAGGTGACCTTTTCTCTGATACCATCCTAATGGTGGACACAAACATGGTGGGAACATCTTAGTGACGGACCCTCCCACGTCAACATGTCCTCTACAGAGGAGCACCTCAGGGACTAGGAGTCCACCTCTTCAAGCTTCTCCTGACTTCGTCTTTAGTAGCCATCATTTCCTGATGGTCCAGGAATTCTATCAGAGCTCTCATGGCTCTCCTGGTGGTCAGAACCTCAGACTCAGATCTTCCTTCCAGACCAGCGAATGTTTCATTATTTCATTGGTTTAGGATTAAACCACGTTTGTGTCGTCATTATCTGATCAGTTAAGGACAGAAGACAGGTGGACCAGGATCCCCAGGTTCTGCTTCTGTCCCTCACATTCGTTATCAGATCTTTCTAATTATCAAGCAGAGCAGCTCAGTGTTTTTGTGTGGAGACCTGGTAATGTTCTACCGAACAAAGAGCTGGTTCTGATGGTCTGGATGGTGAGAAGCTATGAGGCAGGAAGCACCTGATGAGATAAACCAGTCTGAACCAGGTACCTGGATCTCTATCTACTGGACATGAAACCAGTCTCATCGGAGTCTGTCCAAAACCAGTTTGACACCACTTTGTTTTGGTCAGCATCCACTCCCACCAGGCTGTCACCATGACAACACAAAGGAATGACATCACATGACATCACATTACATGTTTGAAGAGAGGATGATGATGGGCTCTTTTCACACTGCTAACCCCCCCACCCACCCCCAGTCTTTGGACAGCAGTGTGAAAGGAGCCGAGTTCAGAGTCCTGGAACCAACCTCCCGTTTTGTAAATGGACCTCCAAGCTGAACCTGTCCAGAACTCTGAGGTGAACACTTCAGCAAAAGACGGCAAACACAACTTCCACTACATTCTCTAGCTGTTCTTATTGGCTAGCCTGGAGGCTGACTGACCAATCAGAAGCCCTCTAACCTAACAACCCAACCAGTCAAGGTGAGGGTGATGGACCATGTGATGGACGAGGAGCTAGGTGGATGAAACAACCCATCTGAACCAATCAGAGATGACCAGATGCTGAGAGCCGATTGGTTCCACAAAGGATGGTGGGAGGGGCTTGTGTTGTGACATCATAGCTGCACATAGGGTAGAATGAGGCTTGGCCACACTTATGGATGACATCACAGTGGGTGATGAGTGTGGCTCCATGCGATGAAGTGACACCCCTCAACATGAGCCCCCCCCATTTAGCCCCCACTTTAACCACTTACCATTAATGGGCACTTTACACAGAGAGAGAAGAGAAGAAGAAGAAGAAGAGACACGAGATGAGCAACAACTTTAGCTTTTAGCTGCTCGTAAACTGTTCCTCAGCTAACACACAGCTAGCATCAAACATCTGATCACCCTATGCTAACCCGGCTAACGTCTGGATGCCTGCTGATCAGTCAACCGGGGGGGGGGAGACAGTCGGTGGGTTCCACCTCCTGCTATAAGCTGAGGCCTGCAGGGTTTACCGTCTGCTCTCAGGGTTTGAGCATAAAGTGGATCTACTAATTAGCTGAGGTCCCGTCAATGTTTGGGCGTATCCATGGCAACTCCAGCTGATCAGGCAGGGATGGTCAAAGTCTGGGGGGGGAAATCTATGTTTCCTTTTTAGCCCAAGCCAGCTGCATCCTCTCTGACGTTTCTTTATCCTGGATTCATTCGGCCAACAGGTGGAGCTTCTAACAGCTTCAGTTTAAAGAAACGCTGCATTTATTCAGTTTGTATTTCCTGGGATTCTCCTGATGTCTGCATGTTGAAAGAAAATTAAAGCTCAGAGACGCCCCCACCCCACCCCGTCCTAGTGGGCATGTTGTGACCATGCAGAGGTTGGAGGTCACAGACAGATGTGACGTCAACACGACACGCAGGAATGTTGTGGATGTGGGGATGGAGTGAAGCCCACCATCATTTTAGTAAAAACAAAAAAAAGGGGGAAAATGAGGAGCAGCTACTGAACTAAAAGGACCAAGAAAAATATTATCAGATATGAAATAAATCAAGAAAAAAAAAAATCTAATCAACAGAAAAAACAACAAACTTCTCTTTAAAAGGTTAAAAAAAGCAAAGCATTTAAAAGACAAAACCTCTAAAGATGCCAGAAATAAACATAAAAACAAGAAATAAACATAAAAACAAGACAGATAAAGAAAAAAGATTAAACGTTTTCAGAAAAACGAAAGCAAAGCAGCAGAACAAGGAGCAAGCAGGGATGGATGGAAGTCTCTTTCTGTCTGTCCCCTCCTCTGTCCTGTCTGTCCACTTCCTGGCTGCCTCTAAACCTCAACCTGACCTCCTGCAGAGGAAACAAGGAAGAGAGTCTCACCGAGGATGGCTGTGGGTACGAATGGATCTGCCATCAGGAGCAGCAGATAGACAGAGAGGAAAGACAGGACAGAGGAGAGAAGGAGACAAAAAGACACGTCAGCTTTCTGAGTTTGGCTGAATGTTGGTGATTTTATACTGACCAGCTCTGAGTACCTGCTCCGTGATGCATTCACAGACAGTGTGACACATTCACTATTCCAGTGTGATGCATTCACTGACAGCGTGATGCATTTACTATCCCTGTGTGATGCATTCATTGACCCTGTGTGATCCTTTCACTGACCCTGTATGTTGCATTCACTGACCTTGTGTGATGCATTTGCTGTCAGGGTGACAAATTCACTGACAGTGGGATGCATTCACTGAGCGTGATGCATTCACTGAGTGTGATGCATTCACTGAGTGTGGTGCATTCACGGTCAGTGTGATGCATTCACTAACCCATGTGATGCATTTACCGACCCTGTGTGATGCATTCACTAACCCCATGTGATGCATTCACTAACCCCATCGGATGCATTCACTAACCCCATGGGATGCATTCACTAACCCCATCGGATGCATTCACTAACCCCATGTGATGCATTCACTAACCCCATGGGATGCATTCACTAACCTCATGTGATGCATTCACTAACCCCATGGGATGCATTCACTAACCCCATGTGATGCATTCACTAACCCCATCGGATGCATTCACTAACCCCATGGGATGCATTCACTAACCCCATGGGATGCATTCACTAACCCCATGTGATGCATTCACTAACCCCATGGGATGCATTCACTAACCTCATGTGATGCATTCACTAACCTCATGTAATGCATTCACTAACCTCATGTGATGCATTCACTAACCTCATGTGATGCATTTAAAGTCAGTGTGATGCATTCACTAACCTCATGTGATGCATTCAAAGTCAGTGTGATGCATTCACTAACCTCATGTGATGCATTCAAAGTCAATGTGATGCATTCACTAACCTCATGTGATGCATTCACTAACCTCATGTGATGCATTTAAAGTCAGTGTGATGCATTCACTAACCTCATGTGATGCATTCAAAGTCAGTGTGATGCATTCACTAACCTCATGTGATGCATTCAAAGTCAATGTGATGCATTCACTAACCTCATGTGATGCATTCAAAGTCAGTGTGATGCATTCACTAACCTCATGTGATGCATTTACTAACCCTGTGTGATGCATTCACTGTAAGTGTGATGCATTCACTGTCAGTGTGATGCATTCACTAACCCTGTGTGATGCATTCACTGTCAGTGTGATGCATTCACTGTCAGTGTGATGCATTTACTGACATTCAAATGCATGAATTGACCCTGTGTGATGCATTCACTGACCCTATGTGGTGGGGTAGTGGTTACCTGGGTAGTAGGAGTTCGGTGCAGAGGTGCTGATGGTGTTGGTCTTAAGGGTAAAAGAGGAAGGAGATGACATGTCTGTATAGAAACACAAAAAACAGAAGTTGTTATTGTCCATGAACTCATTGCTACGTCGGCTCTAACCCCTACATCCCTCCATCACTATATAGTGAACTTTATAGTGAACTCAGTTCACTGACCGTTCAGACAGATGATCACTACTTTTTACTCCCCGTTGGTGAATCCCAACACGGTGGCTCCGCCATCTTTGTTCTTTTTAGGCCCATGATGCTTTGCAAGGAGAGCTCTCACAAAGCATTCTGGGATATATCTGCTTGTCTAGTGACAATCTCTGTCGTCCGCTCTATTCAGCTGGAAACACACGGCGAGAAGGTGGGGGCCGGGTGGTGAGGGTTACGGGGGCGAGAAACGCAGGAAACCAGGACCTGATCCTCCAGGAGGACCTGATCCTCCAAGAGGACCTGATCCTCCAGGAGGACCTGATCCTCCAAGAAGACCTGATCCTCCAGGAGGACCTGATCCTCCAGGAGGACCTGATCCTCCACGAGGACCTGATCCTCCACGAGGACCTGATCCTCCAGGAGGACCTGATCCTCCAAGAAGACCTGATCCTCCAAGAGGACCTGATCCTCCAGGAGGACCTGATCCTCCACGAGGACCTAATCCTCCAGGAGGACTTGATCCTCCAAGAGGACCTGATCCTCCAAGAGGACCTGATCCTCCAAGAGGACCTGATCCTCCACGAGGACCTGATCCTCCAGGAGGACCTGATCCTCCACGAGGACCTGATCCTCCAGGAGGACTTGATCCTCCAAGAGGACCTGATCCTCCTGAAAAGGTTCCTGTTCTGAAGCTCTCAGGTTTAAAAGGTCACCACCTGTTAGCTTAGCATAGGGCCCTTCATTAGCAGGAGGACTAATGGATGACGTCTCTAACATTGACCTGTTTGCTTTGAGCAGACAGAAATGAAGGCTGCTGCTATGCTAACAGCTGCCTTTTAATGGAACCTTCCAGCTGTTGCCACTGGGCTGATATAACCAAACAATAAGCATTGCTCGCTTACTGGTTTCTCTGTGTTTTGAAGGGCCTACAGCTCTTCTTCTGTCTGTGGTTCTATGTGAGCTGAATCTGGACCTCCTTGGCATCCATGTTCCTGTCTGGGTTTGTAGTTCAGTTCCCAGGAAATGTTCCCTTTGTTCTGCTTGAGAAGAACCTGAGCCGTGGAACATGGCAGACTGACTGATCCTGACATGATGTGAATTGGAGCTATAGAAATAAAATGAATTGAAATTGAATTGAAATTTCGAGGATTAATTGATGAATTGATGGAGTTGAGCTGATGAACGAGGTGCGGTCGGCGCGGTGATCATCCACCGCAGCAGTCAGGAAGTCTTCCTCACAGAGAGGAGCTGCAGTAACAGCAGGGATGAGCAGAGGAGCTGAAGGCCTGAGGGAAGGTCAGCTTCTCCAGTTTCTTGATTAATGCTTAGTCACATCACCTGCAGCATCTTAGAGCAGATCCTTCTGCAGCGAACACAAACGCTGCTGCAGGACACAGAGACAGACGTCTCTGCAGACAGAGACTGGCTCTGATTAATCTCCCTCCTCTGCATCATCGCCTCAGATTGATCCTGCTGCTCAGGTTTCCTTCCCTGCCTGGATTTTCTCCTTATTCTCAGCCAGTTAAGCAAATTCTGACACCTAAAGAGGGAGAGAGCAGATCCATCATCTGGAACCAGTCTGCCCATCATCCTGGTTATATGGAACCAGTCTGCCCATCATCCTGGGACTCTGGACCCAGTCTGCCCATCATCCTGGTACCTCTGGAACCAGTCTGCCCACCATCCTGGTACCTCTGGAACCAGTCTGCCCATCATCCTGGTACCTCTGGAACCAGTCTGCCCATCATCCTGGTACCTCTGGAACCAGTCTGCCCACCATCCTGGGACTCTGGAACCAGTCTGCCCATCATCCTGGGACTCTGGAACCAGTCTGCCCATCATCCTGGTACCTCTGGAACCAGTCTGCCCACCATCCTGGGACTCTGGAACCAGTCTGCCCATTATCCTGGGACTCTGGAACCAGTCTGCCCACCATCCTGGGACTCTGGAACCAGTCTGCCCACCATCCTGGGACTCTGGACCCAGTCTGCCCATCATCCTGGTACCTCTGGAACCAGTCTGCCCACCATCCTGGTACCTCTGGAACCAGTCTGCCCACCATCCTGGTACCTCTGGAACCAGTCTGCCCATCATCCTGGGACTCTGGAACCAGTCTGCCCATCATCCTGGTACCTCTGGAACCAGTCTGCCCACCATCCTGGGACTCTGGACCCAGTCTGCCCATTATCCTGGGACTCTGGAACCAGTCTGCCCATCATCCTGGGACTCTGGAACCAGTCTGCCCATCATCCTGGTACCTCTGGAACCAGTCTGCCCACCATCCTGGGACTCTGGAACCAGTCTGCCCACCATCCTGGGACTCTGGAACCAGTCTGCCCACCATCCTGGGACTCTGGAACCAGTCTGCCCACCATCCTGGGACTCTGGAACCAGTCTGCACACCATCCTGGTACCTCTGGAACCAGTCTGCCCACCATCCTGGGACTCTGGAACCAGTCTGCCCACCATCCTGGGACTCTGGACCCAGTCTGCCCATCATCCTGGTACCTCTGGAACCAGTCTGCCCACCATCCTGGTACCTCTGGAACCAGTCTGCCCACCATCCTGGTACCTCTGGAACCAGTCTGCCCATCATCCTGGGACTCTGGAACCAGTCTGCCCATCATCCTGGGACTCTGGAACTAGTCTGCCCACCATCCTGGTACCTCTGGAACCAGTCTGCCCATCATCCTGGGACTCTGGAACCAGTCTGCCCATCATCCTGGGACTCTGGAACCAGTCTGCCCATCATCCTGGTACCTCTGGAACCAGTCTGCCCATCATCCTGGGACTCTGGAACCAGTCTGCCCATTATCCTGGGACTCTGGAACCAGTCTGCCCACCATCCTGGGACTCTGGAACCAGTCTGCCCACCATCCTGGGACTCTGGACCCAGTCTGCCCATCATCCTGGTACCTCTGGAACCAGTCTGCCCACCATCCTGGTACCTCTGGAACCAGTCTGCCCACCATCCTGGTACCTCTGGAACCAGTCTGCCCATCATCCTGGGACTCTGGAACCAGTCTGCCCATCATCCTGGTACCTCTGGAACCAGTCTGCCCACCATCCTGGGACTCTGGACCCAGTCTGCCCATTATCCTGGGACTCTGGAACCAGTCTGCCCATCATCCTGGGACTCTGGAACCAGTCTGCCCATCATCCTGGTACCTCTGGAACCAGTCTGCCCACCATCCTGGGACTCTGGAACCAGTCTGCCCACCATCCTGGGACTCTGGAACCAGTCTGCCCACCATCCTGGGACTCTGGAACCAGTCTGCCCACCATCCTGGGACTCTGGAACCAGTCTGCACACCATCCTGGTACCTCTGGAACCAGTCTGCCCACCATCCTGGGACTCTGGAACCAGTCTGCCCACCATCCTGGGACTCTGGACCCAGTCTGCCCATCATCCTGGTACCTCTGGAACCAGTCTGCCCACCATCCTGGTACCTCTGGAACCAGTCTGCCCACCATCCTGGTACCTCTGGAACCAGTCTGCCCATCATCCTGGTACCTCTGGAACCAGTCTGCCCACCATCCTGGGACTCTGGAACCAGTCTGCCCATTATCCTGGGACTCTGGAACCAGTCTGCCCATCATCCTGGGACTCTGGAACCAGTCTGCCCATCATCCTGGTACCTCTGGAACCAGTCTGCCCATCATCCTAGTAACTCTGGAACCAGTCTGCCCACCATCCTGGGACTCTGGAACCAGTCTGCCCACCATCCTGGGACTCTGGAACCAGTCTGCCCACCATCCTGGGACTCTGGAACCAGTCTGCCCACCATCCTGGGACTCTGGAACCAGTCTGCCCACCATCCTGGTACCTCTGGAACCAGTCTGCCCATCATCATGGGACTCTGGAACCAGTCTGCCCACCATCCTGGGACTCTGGAACCAGTCTGCCCACCATCCTGGGACTCTGGAACCAGTCTGCCCACCATCCTGGGACTCTGAAACCAGTCTGCCCACCATCCTGGGACTCTGGAACCAGTGTGCCTATCAGACGGCTGTAGTTTGACCTTCATCAGGACGTCTTTGCCATGTCAGGATGAAGACTCGCTGCCCTGTGATCAAATAGCAGTTGATCTAATCTAATCTAGTCCTGCATTTAGATTTGTGTGTGTGAGCTTCTGTCTAGGCATCAGAGTGAGGATATTCTTCTGGTCCTTCAGGTGTTCTGCTAACGGTAGCTTTAGGGCTAAGGCATTAGCAGGGTTTAGGTATCCTTTGCTAATGCTAACGTCTGAAGCTAGGGCAGAGAAAGGGATGAAAAACACTGAAATCAAGGTGGGAGTTAAAATATGGTCCTTACTACCTATAGCAAAGTGTGTGTGGTTTTGTGTGTGTGTGAGGAGGACTTACTGTGGCCGTTCAGAGTGTGTGTGTCCACCACGGTTGTGTGTTGGGAGGTGTTCACCATCAGAGTCATTTCCTGTCTGGAGCTCAACGTTTCCTTCCTCTTCTTGGCCAACTTCCTGCAGAGACACAGACAATGACGTTAGGTTTACTTCTAGAACAATCAGGAGGACCACCCACTAGCTGCATGTCTGTTTGAGCCTGTGACAGACCACTCTATGAGCAACCTCAGATTCAGGAAGACCACCCAAGATCCAATAAAGGGTCCATTTACGTCAAAGGTCCATTTAGGGCGAGGGTCCATTTAGGGTAAGGAGGGTCCATTTGGGGTAAGGAGGGTCCATTTAGGGCGAGGGTCCATTTAGGGTAAGGAGGGTTCCTTTAGGGCGAGGGTCCATTTATGGCTTGGAGGGTTCGTTTAGGGTAAGGAGGGTCCATTTAGGGCGAGGGTCCATTTAGGGTAAGGAGGGTCCATTTGGGGTAAGGAGGGTCCATTTAGGGCGAGGGTCCATTTAGGGTAAGGAGGGTCCGTTTAGGGTAAGGAGGGTCCATTTGGGGTAAGGAGGGTCCATTTAGGGCGAGGGTCCATTTAGGGGGAGGAGGGTCCATTTAGGGGGAGGAGGGTCCATTTAGGTAAGGTGAGTCCATTTAGGGCGAGAAGGGCCCATTTAGGGTACGGAGGGTCCATTTAGGGTACGGAGGGTCCATTTAGGGTGAGCAGGGTCCATTTGGGTAAGGTGAGTCCATTTAGGGTGAGAAGGGCCCATTTAGGGTACGGAGGGTCCATTTAGTGCGAGGAGGGTCCATTTAGGGTAAGGTGAGTCCATTTAGGGTACGGAGGGTCCATTTAGGTAAGGTGAGTCCATTTAGGGCGAGAAGGGCCCATTTAGGGTACGGAGGGTCCATTTAGGGTACGGAGGGTCCATTTAGGGTGAGCAGGGTCCATTTGGGTAAGGTGAGTCCATTTAGGGTGAGAAGGGCCCATTTAGGGTACGGAGGGTCCATTTAGTGCGAGGAGGGTCCATTTAGGGTAAGGTGAGTCCATTTAGGGTACGGAGGGTCCATTTAGGTAAGGTGAGTCCATTTAGGGCGAGAAGGGCCCATTTAGGGTACGGAGGGTCCATTTAGGGCAAGGAGGGTCCATTTAGGTACGGAGGGTCCATTTAGGGGGAGGAGGGTCCATTTAGGGGGAGGAGGGCCCATTTAGGGCAAGGAAGGTCTATTTAGGGTGACTTTACTGCTTAGCGGGAAATACTCTTCATCAGAATGGAGTCTTTATCACAAACAGTTTGAAACAGGCAGGCACAGCTGGGAGGCAGATTGGATGACGCCCCGGCAGTGAGGGAGATGAAGGGATTTAATATTAAATACGTAGATGAAGGTAAATTGGTCTATGAACGCTGGAAGCTTTTAGTGAAAATTTAGCAAGAAACAGTCTAGACCAGAACCCTGACTGGGATCCGTCATCCTGGTTTCTGGAGGATCTCTGCAGGTTTCCTGTCCAGTCTAGACCAGAACCCTGACTGGAATCCGTCTGCCTGGTTTCTGGAGGATCTCTGCAGGTTTCCTGTCCAGTCTAGACCAGAACCCTGACTGGGATCCGTCTGCCTGGTTTCTGGGGGATCTCTGCAGGTTTCCTGTCCAGTCTAGACCAGAACCCTGACTGGGATCCGTCTGCCTGGTTTCTGGAGGATCTCTGCAGGTTTCCTATCCAGTCTAGACCAGAACCCTGACTGGGATCCGTCTGCCTGGTTTCTGGAGGATCTCTGCAGGTTTCCTGTCCAGTCTAGACCAGAACCCTGACTGGGATCCGTCTGCCTGGTTTCTGGAGGATCTCTGCAGGTTTCCTGTCAGTCTAGACAAGAACCCTGACTGGGATCCGTCTGCCTGGTTTCTGGAGGATCTCTGCAGATTTCCTGTCAGTCTAGACCAGAACCCTGACTGGGATCCGTCTGCCTGGTTTCTGGAGGATCTCTGCAGGTTTCCTGTCCAGTCTAGACCAGAACCCTGACTGGGATCCGTCTGCCTGGTTTCTGGAGGATCTCTGCAGGTTTCCTGTCCAGTCTAGACCAGAACCCTGACTGGGATCCGTCTGCCTGGTTTCTGGAGGATCTCTGCAGGTTTCCTGTCAGTCTAGACCAGAACCCTGACTGGGATCCATCTGCCTGGTTTCTGGAGGATCTCTGCAAGTTTCCTGTCCAGTCTAGACCAGAACCCTGACTGGGATCCGTCTGCCTAGTTTCTGGAGGATCTCTGCAGGTTTCCTGTCAGTCTAGACCAGAACCCTGACTGGGATCCGTCTGCCTGGTTTCTGGAGGATCTCTGCAGGTTTCCTGTCCAGTCTAGACCAGAACCCTGACTGGAATCCGTCTGCCTGGTTTCTGGAGGATCTCTGCAGGTTTCCTGTCCAGTCTAGACCAGAACCCTGACTGGGATCCGTCTGCCTGGTTTCTGGGGGATCTCTGCAGGTTTCCTGTCCAGTCTAGACCAGAACCCTGACTGGGATCCGTCTGCCTGGTTTCTGGAGGATCTCTGCAGGTTTCCTATCCAGTCTAGACCAGAACCCTGACTGGGATCCGTCTGCCTGGTTTCTGGAGGATCTCTGCAGGTTTCCTGTCCAGTCTAGACCAGAACCCTGACTGGGATCCGTCTGCCTGGTTTCTGGAGGATCTCTGCAGGTTTCCTGTCCAGTCTAGACCAGAACCCTGACTGGGATCCTTCTGCCTGGTTTCTGGAGGATCTCTGCAGGTTTCCTGTCCAGTCTAGACCAGAACCCTGACTGGGATCCGTCTGCCTGGTTTCTGGAGGATCTCTGCAGGTTTCCTGTCAGTCTAGACCAGAACCCTGACTGGGATCCATCTGCCTGGTTTCTGGAGGATCTCTGCAAGTTTCCTGTCCAGTCTAGACCAGAACCCTGACTGGGATCCGTCTGCCTAGTTTCTGGAGGATCTCTGCAGGTTTCCTGTCAGTCTAGACCAGAACCCTGACTGGGATCCATCTGCCTGGTTTCTGGAGGATCTCTGCAAGTTTCCTGTCCAGTCTAGACCAGAACCCTGACTGGGATCCGTCTGCCTAGTTTCTGGAGGATCTCTGCAGGTTTCCTGTCAGTCTAGACCAGAACCCTGACTGGGATCCGTCTGCCTGGTTTCTGGGGGATCTCTGCAGGTTTCCTCTCTCTTGCAGGTTTCTCCCTGCGGTTTATTGCAGAAACTCTGCAGAAGAAAAACACCTTTTATCCCCTCATCTCATCCACTCTGGGCATGTTTTTCTCTTTCTATTCTGAGTGTCTGTGGAAAGAAAATCCATTTGTCCGATTGCTCACACACAGAGTTTAACCCTGACCTGAGAGCAGCGCAAATATAGAAATAACAGAGAAACAGGCTTTTAAAGGCACACTGCAGCGAGCATGCCGGGGTTAACATGGAGGACGCTGAAAGAGCCCCAAGGCAAGGTGCTGCCCTCCTCCCCCTCATGTCTACTTTCTCTTCTCTGATTCCTGCAGCCTTTCTTCTCCTCTGATTCAGAGCCCAGCGCACAAACAGCAGCAGCTCCCACTCTGCTTTCACAGCTCAGACATGTTGGGACAGAAACAGGAGCGACGGCGTCATTCGCTGTTAACACAATCTGACTATAGGGGAGGGGGGGCTTCAGGTAAACATGGAGCACCCAGTGAGTCTGGTCCGCCATGATAATCAGGTTCTGATAGAACTGATGAGAAGACCCTGGCTGAGTCTAATCCCATCCAGGACCGGTTCTGCCTTCACTCCATCCAGGACCTGTGCAGGTCTGTGGTCAGGAACAGGAACCCTGGACCGGTTTGGACCGGTTCCAGTCAGGTCAGCAGCGAGAGCTAGCTGCTAAATTTTCCGGACCGATCTGCACAGTCGTCCTCTTTTGCTCACATTTTTCTCTCCTCATTATTTCTACTTAAAGCGTCTTTATTCAGAGTAAAGTGGAAACAGTCGGACGTTTGACGCCTGATTGAAGCCTGCTTTGTTGTTGCCGTAGCGACTGAAAATCAGGCTGTCAGATTGTTTGTGGAAAAACTTGGTGATTAAAGTTGTACAGGAGTGAATAAAGTGAATGCGATTGGTTGATTTTTAAGGGGGCGGGATTGTTGTGGCGGGAGGTTCGCAAGCAAGTTTGGTTGTGGCCGGTTTGTAGGAAGCATCTTGCTAACCAGTTAGCATCTTAGTGCTAGCTGGTTCCCAATGGGAAATTCCATTGGGACCAAGTAGCACTAAATTGGTGACTTAGAAACGACGCTGTCAAGGAACGCTATGGACAGAGGAAACATGCAAGAGGAGGAGAGTTTAGTGTCGGAGGTCGTGGATGAGTCTCCTCCGTCATCCATTTTTTATTTAGAGGAGGAAAGCAGGGACGAAGATGTTGTGGAAGAGGACGCCAGGGCAGCAGAAGCTTGGTTTGGTGTAGAAGGCTTCCAGCCGTACATGTTTGAGCCCTTGCCTCGCAACGCTGCCAGTTCTGTTAGCTCTACGCCTGCCGAAGACACAGACGTCCATCCCCGTGAACACTGGGACGCAACTCAATGGGAAAGGAAAGGATTCTGGTTTCAACGCGTATATTAGCTGCGACACATGAATCAAGATGCTATGACCGAAAACATTTGATTGACAGATGACCGTTGATATTTGATTGGCTGAATTTAGAATTCAGGCTGACGTAGAACTAACTTAGCCTCGTGAGACCATCCTGATCTCGCGAGCTTTCAAGGTTTCACTCACAGATCAGTCTGGAGACTCTCCGTTAAAGAAAATTTGGAGCCGTTCACCAAACGAACGTCCAATCAGCGTTGGCTTTGAGGCGGGTTGAGGTGTGACGCAACGAGAAGCGCGACAGTTCAGTCTAAAGAACATGGCGGCTTCAGCCGATGAAACTAGCGTTAGCGTGGCTATCGAGCAAGTTTTATCGGAATTACAGAGTATATCTTCACTGAAAGAAGAGCAAAACACTGCTCTGGAGGCTTTTCTCAGAGGAAAAGATGTTTTTGCTCTTCTCCTGACTGGTTTCGGCAAGAGTTTGATCTATCAATTGGCTCCTCTTCGTCGTCGCTCTGTTAGTACGTCATATGCTTCGTTGATCTGATTGGTTTATTTGGCCCGTCTATCACCAACATAGGCCAATCAGCTAACCAGTATTTTCACCCCTTCCCAAAATTACTTCAACGGAAGGTTTCCAGATGGATATGAGGAGCAAATCCATCTGGCGGAGTCAGGTTAGAACTAACTGGCCTGCAGAAGATAACGGAAAAAAACACAGATTTTAAGATTTTTATTTGAATAGAAATTTTCCAACTTTTGGGACAATATGGTCTGATAAAGAGAACATTTATATACATGTTTAAGTCAGAATAATTTGACATTTAAATAAGACTTCCTTATGACTTTAAATCTGGTTCTGATTGTGAAGAACAGTCCGGACCTGGTTCTGTTTGGATCCAGTGGTGAGAACCTTCTGGTTACTTTAGACAGAATTATGTGAGCAAATTAGCAGCAATGCGGAGGTCTCTGACCTCTGACAGCATGGTGAGAGCTTCCCCTCTGCTGCTGCAGACGGGGTATTGCTAACTGAGGTAACAGCATCCAGCAAGCGGGTGGCGGACGGACCGACTCCTGTTTCTAGGAAGCTGCAGCTGAAAAGCTTTTAAGTGCTCGCTGCTTTCTGAGGCTGTGTGTGTGTGTGTGTGTGTATCCAGGTGTGTGTGTCATGTCATCATTAGTGAGGTGTCGAGGGATGATGGATTCAATAACACTCAACACGAACACACGCCCTGCAAGTCAAGGCTAATCTATGCTAATCTAATTTGGAGGCAACACAAAGCTGTCAGCTGCAAGGAATGGGAAAGCATGTGTGTGTGTGTGTGTGTGTGTGTGCAGTGAAGCAGGATTAATAGCATTAGCTGCCTGTTATAAATGACCCCCCCCCATGATGTAAAACATCATGTTAGGATCCAGTTAAAGGAAGACGACACCCCAGGTCTAAGTGGTGGTTTAACTCGCTGGTTCTGCCTCATGGCGGCTGAGCTGTCAGCTGTCCTGTTTTTCCACTTCTTTCAGGCCGTCCTCCATAGCAGCCGTCTCCCATTAATGTCCCGTATCACTGTATTACAAAATGAACTAAAAAAAACACCAATGGATCCGTCTCTGAAAGTCTAAATCTTATACTAGCATCACCATCCTCATCCTAAGCCCCTCCCCTCAGGGCTGCGTCCTGAGCCCCCTGCCCCCCCCATCCTCCCCACCTTCTATAGAATCTTCAAATCCTTTTAAATAGAACTAAACTCTGTGTTTCTACTGTATTTTGCATCATATCTATTAATTTATTTCTGCGCTGCTCTGGACCTTCTCCATCTATGCCTTCTGCTCCACGTCTCTGCATTCTGATCACTGCTGCACTTTATAAGTGGAAATGTTCAGTAACTGTTGGAAACTTTGTGGACAAGATGAGAAAAATGTTCATCTAGTTTAGTTTGGAATCAGGACTTCATTATATTTTGTCATTATATAAAAAATAAAAAAAATAATGAAAATGTTAGAACTGTAAATTTACAGTCATATATTTATATTACTGTTTATATATATATATATATATATATATATATATATATATATATATATATATATATAAATATATATTTTACTATTTTTTCAACACTGCACAGAAACTGTCCAGAGAGCTGTCCAAACTGTCCAAACTGTCCAAACCAAATTTCTTTTGGTTTTACAGACTCAGGTTTAGAGTTTATTTTAGATTTTTGGTCCACATGAAAATATAATGAATACTGGAGGTGGACTGGGACAGCTGGACTGGGACAGCTGGACTAGGACAGATGGACTAGGGGAGATGGATTGAGACAGGTGGACCTGGACAGGTGGACTGGGACAGATGGACTGGGACAGGTGGACCTGGACAGGTGGACTGGGACAGCTGGACTGGGACAGCTGGACTGGGACAGGTGGACAGGAATAGGTGGACTGGGACAGATAGATTGGAACACATGGACTGGGATAGGTAGACTGGGACAGCTGGACTGGGACAGATGGACCTGGACAGGTGGACTGGGACAGCTGGACTGGGACAGATGGACTTGGACAGATGGACTGGGACAGCTGGACTGGGACAGATGGACCTGGACAGGTGGACTGGGACAGGTGGACAGGAATAGGTGGACTGGGACAGGTGGAGGGGGATGATGGTTAGGGAGGGATGGAGGAGGCTGTAACATGGCGACTGACTAGACCACACCCCCCGCTGACATCCAGCAGGGACCAGGGGAGGAGACAGAACTCAGTGCCCAGTCTAAGGTCACCATGACGATGGACGAACGCTTTGGACCAGAGAACATCAGAGAGGAGCCCCCGATGTGACCTCAGCCACATGGAGCCATAGAGTAGAGCCCTGCAATCCTGCGGGACTCTCGCGGGACTTGAGTGACCAAACGCAAAGCAGGCGGAAGGGAGAGCGCACAGTGCAGGTACGGGCGGGAGCGGTGATAAGCGGCAGTCCCGCAAACTAAAAACGTGTTTTAAAATGTAAAATAAAGTCAAATTATCAGTCTATGACTATCATATATTTATATATAACAATGTTTTTTGGTGGGGCTCCATCATACGGTGTTTAAAATGATTAATTATAACTTATTATATTTTTATTTCATATGTGAACGTGATGATGAGCGGCATATAAGATTATGCACAATATATTATTCTTAATATCCTCAGTAGATTTTGGAAGGTTAGTTGGGTATTGCTGTGAAGCAGCAGCTCGTGCTATCTAACCTCGTGTCATGCGCTATGCGGTGAAGAATCAGCCAGTAATGTGCTTAGCTTAGCTCAAACTAATTCCTCAAAGTAATGACACGAATTGCCCTCAGCAGTAGACAACCGCTGGAATCATGCGGGAATCACGGGTGGGAGCGGGACAAACTATTACAGGTGCAGGAGGAGGCGGGCGCAGGACTGGAAAATCTGTCCCGCACAGGCCTCTACTGTAGAGCTGCAGGTTTGAGCAATTAGAGTGGTCCATCGGTCAGAGACACTCCGACCGAGAGGTCCATCAACCAGAGACACTCCGACCGAGAGATCCATCAACCAGAGACACTCCGACCGAGAGGTCCATCAACCAGAGACACTCCGACCGAGAGGTCCATCAACCAGAGACACGCCGACCGAGAGGTCCATCGGTCAGAGACACTCGGACCGAAAGGTCCATCGGCAGAAACACTCGGACCGAGAGGTCCATCGGTCAGAGATACTCGGACCGAGAGGTCCATCAACCAGAGACACTCCGACCGACAGGTCCATCAACCAGAGACACTCCGACCGAGAGGTCCATCAACCAGAGACACTCCGACCGAGAGGTCCATCGGTCAGAGACACTCCGACCGAGAGGTCCATCGGCCAGAGACACTCGGACCGAAAGGTCCATCAACCAGAGACACTCCGACCGAGAGGTCCATCAACCAGAGACACTCCGACCGAGAGGTCCATCGGTCAGAGACACTCCAACCGAGAGGTCCATCGGTCAGAGACACTCGGACCGAAAGGTCCATCAACCAGAGACACTCCGACCGACAGGTCCTTCAACCAGAGACACTCCGACCGAGAGGTCCATCGGTCAGAGACACTCCGACCGAGAGGTCCATCGGCAGAGACACTCCGACCGAGAGGTCCATCAACCAGAGACACTCCGACCGAGAGGTCCATCAACCAGAGACACTCCGACCGAGAGGTCCATCGGCAGAAACACTCCGACCGACAGGTCCATCAACCAGAGACACTCCGACCGAGAGGTCCATCGGTCAGAGACACTCCGACCGAGAGGTCCATCAACCAGAGACACTCCGACCGAGAGGTCCATCAACCAGAGACACTCCGACCGAGAGGTCCATCAACCAGAGACACTCCGACCGAGAGGTCCATCGGCCGGAGAGACTCCGACCTAGCAGTCCATCGGCCAGAGACACTCCAACCGAAGCGCACATCAACCAGAGACACTCCGACCGAGAGGTCCATCGGCCGGAGAGACTCCGACCGAGAGGTCCATCGGCCGGAGAGACTCCGACCGAGAGGTCCATCGGCCAGAGACACTCTGACTGAGTGGTCCATCAACCAGAGACACTCAAACTGATAGGTCCATCGGTCAGACACACTCCAACCAAGCAGTCCATCAGTCAGAGACACTCTGACTGAGTGGTCCATCAACTAGAGACACTCCGACCAAGCAGTCCATCAGTCAGACACACTCCAACCAAGCAGTCCATCAGTCAGAGACACTCTGACTGAGTGGTCCATCAACTAGAGACACTCCGACCAAGCAGTCCATCGACCAGAGACACTCCAACTGAGAGGTCCATCGGTCAGGGACACTCCAACCAAAGGGCCCATCAACCAGAGACACTCTGACTGAGTGGTCCATCGGTCAGAGACACTCAGAGATACCTTGACCTCCTGCTAAAGCTTCGGATGCTAGCTATTTGGATCTATGTTGTTATTTCTATAAAACGCATCACAACCAGCAGGCTGGAACCACCAACCAGAGCTGGCGGGATGGCGGTCCTGGATCCAGGAGGTCAGAGAGGCACGGATGGTTATGGAAACATGGTGCTCAGGAGGGGGATAAACACTGAGGGTCAAAGGTCAAACGGGTTACTTACAGGTAGTAAGTGTAGGAGTGATAATTTCTTCTTCTGAATGGTGAAGCAGAGGGAGGGATGAGATGGAGGGAAAGGAAAGAAAAACAGAAAAAGGAAAAAACAACATTAATGTTGAAGAGACCAACAGAACAGATGAGTTCATAATCAGAGTCTGCTGATTGGCTGGAGCAGGGGAGGGGGGTTCTGATTGGTTCATGTGTGAGATGAAAACACAGAGGGACATCTGGGGTGGGCGGAGCAGCAAGGTCAGCGTGGAGGAGAGTCAGTCGCCCACCGTCCACAGCACGAACCAAACAGCGCCCATCCATCTGAGCACCGTTTCCTTGACAACCGTAGCTGCTGGACCTCAGGGCGCGTTTCTTCAGCTTCAAACATCTTCCCAGCTAAAGCTAAAGCTTCTCCACTTCCTGTTCCACTGAAGCCGTTCCAGAACCACGGAGAGCTCCGAGGGTTTTCCTCTAACACGTCTCCACCGTTTCTCCTGGCAGCGCCGCAGCCTCCTCTTCCTCAGCCAGCTCTCTGGAAGGCTGCATCATGGGGCCCAAAATGAGGCTCCAGGATGTCTACTGGCTGAGCTCTGCCTCTGCCATGCTAAAAGCGCTAACCACGGCCCATAGCATGATACCACACCTGCCATCCTAGAGGCTGGATGCAGGGCAGGGGAGCCGAGGAGAACATCTGAGTGAAGGTTCTCCAGAGTCACCCTGCTCCATCAGCTTCCTGCAGTACAACAGTTAAGTCAGCTGAGCTGTTGGTCAAACTGGGCATACTGGGAGCCAGTTCCAGTTCTTCCCTGGTGAGTGGGTCCTTCTGGAGGCGATGCTGGCGGGTAACATGAAGCGGTTTGTTTCTGCAGAGCCTTCCTCTCATCATATCTGCTGCTACGCGGAGGCTCTGCGATGAACCGGGGCGGTCCCAGCCAGATGCTGTTTTCTACCAACTCCAATCAAAACCTGAAGCCTGTGGAGTCGCTTAACGAGGCCATTCTAGCGGTGAGGGCGGGATGGTTTTCATATCAGGAGTGGTGGAGTCCTCTCGCCCTGCAGTGCGCAGCTTGCTGCTGTAATGAGTCTGACCTCCGTTTGGTCACAGAGCGGAAATCAAACGCACCCCGTCAACTTTAAACAGCTCATTAGACACGGAACAAGCGCCTCTCGTTTCTGCGTGTCTGTAACATCAGGAACACAGATCAGAGCTCGATAGACCTGACAGGCCGATGCACGCATAAACGCACGCACACCGCGCGCACAATTACACACACACACACAAAGGAAAATGGGTTTCTCGCCTGAAGCCATTCAGCTTGAGGCGACTGAAAAAAAAAAGAAAACTTTCTTTCATCTAAATTTCTCTCTCATCTCTAACGTTCTGAAAACACTGAAGCTTTCTGTGTGTGTGTGTGTGGACGTCCCTGAGGGACGCCTGTGTTTGATGTTGGAGACTAAAGTCAGTCCAGATACAGTTTAATGGTGATTAGTGCAATCTGCACCATTATTCTTCCTCATGGTCCTCGCTGTCCCCCAGACTGGGGACGCCGTTGTGTCTTTGATGTACCGTCGTCCAGCTATGCTCAACTTCCACAATAATCCCACCGTCTACCTTCAGAAACGTCCTTCACTTGGATTTATTGGCGTCCCTCTTGTTTTCATGTCCATCAGCCGGAGTGCAGCGGCGCCCCCTGCTGAGCCGTTTGGTTCAAAGTTTCTCATTAAAGAGTTTCCTGCCGTCAGAAGATAAAACCCGCAGACTATCGGAGACAGGGGCCCGGTTCACCATTCTGTTCACCGCTTCGGTTCCGGTTCTCCTTCATCTTTCTGTCCAATCAGCTCATTTGTTTTTGTTTAACGTATCAATCTTTAACCTCATTGGTCGACTCAGTGGGACCTGCTGCCACGCCTGCTAGCTAAATGCTAACTGTTGGTTTATTTGCTCTAGTTTCTGCCCCATTATCTTAAAGATGTAGCTGAACAAACAGGAATCTTCTGTTGGATTCAGTTCTGACCTTTTGTTCATCAGCAGGATGCTTCCCAGGAAGATGATGATGAAGAGCAGGACGCCAGCGATGGATCCAGCAATCTTCACAGTGTGATCCGTCTCCTTCTCCTGCTCTGGTTCTGGTTTCCTGGTCGCAGCTCCTGAAAACAGTAACCAGTGTTGAAAACAAACATTGTAACCTTTACCAGACACTAACTGATTAACTCATTAACAAGGACCAACATCCATTGAGACTAACTAGGTAATCCTTAACCACCTTCGTACTAGTTAAGTCCTAAACTATTTAACCAGAATAACTGGACTGATTTAGATCCTCCTGAAGGACAGAGACTGTTTAGAGTCAGCAGGTTACTTTACATCAGAACCACTTAGACCCCATGTGGCGTTCCCATCTTAGGGCCCCTCCTATTCAGTTACCATGGCGATGAAGACAACACCCAGCGGCTCACCAGCAGGTGACTATGAACCCATTCCAGCTCTGGATGAATACAGTGAAGAAATCAAGGCATGGTTCTACTTTGGCCAGAAGGAACAGAGTTTCAAAGTTAGCATCTAGATACTGCTGCTTGCATCCTCACTAGAACTATACAAAGTAGATCAGACAGCTGATCCAGACGCTGCTGCCTGCGTCCTCACTAGAACTATAGAAAGTAGATCAGACAGCTGATCCAGACGCTGCTGCCTGCGTCCTCACTAGAACTATAGAAAGTAGATCAGACAGCTGATCCAGATGCTGCTGCTTGCATCCTCACTAGAACTATAGAAAGTAGATCAGACAGATGATCCAGATGCTGCTGCCTGCGTCCTCACTAGAACTATAGAAAGTAGATCAGACAGCTGATCCAGATGCTGCTGCTTGCATCCTCACTAGAACTATAGAAAGTAGATCAGACATCTGATCCAGATGCTGTGCCTGCGTCCTCACTAGAACTATAGAAAGTAGATCAGACAGCTGATCCAGATGCTGCTGCTTGCATCCTCACTAGAACTATAGAAAGTAGATCAGACAGCTGATCCAGATGCTGCTGCTTACATCCTCACTAGAACTATAGAAAATAGATCAGACATCTGATCCAGATGCTGTGCCTGCGTCCTCACTAGAACTATAGAAAGTAGATCAGACAGCTGATCCAGATGCTGCTGCTTGCATCCTCACTAGAACTATAGAAAGTAGATCAGACAGCTGATCCAGACGCTGCTGCCTGCGTCCTCACTAGAACTATAGAAAGTAGATCAGACAGCTGATCCAGATGCTGCTGCCTGCATCCTCACTAGAACTATAGAAAGTAGATCAGACAGCTGATCAAGATGCTGCTGCCTGCGTCCTCACTAGAACTATAGAAAATAGATCAGACATCTGATCCAGATGCTGCTGCCTGCGTCCTCACTAGAACTATAGAAAGTAGATCAGACAGCTGATCCAGATGCTGCTGCTTGCATCCTCACTAGAACTATAGAAAGTAGATCAGACATCTGATCCAGATGCTGCTGCCTGCATCCTCACTAGAACCATGAAAGCAGATCACATCATTCCTTCCTGTAGCTCCCTTTATCTCAGAGAATTGACTTTAAATTTTTGTGTTCATCTAGAAACCCCTGATTAGCTTTGCTCCAAACTACATTACAGACTGGTTGGCAGGGGATTAACAGCCAGACCACTCAGGTCTACTGGATCAGAACCAAACATGAAGAAGCAGCATCTATGCTCCCCTGATCTGGAATAAACTCCCGGAAGACTGGGAAAGAGCTAAAATGCTCAGCTGGATTAAATCTAGATTAAAGGTGTAATTTTCAAACTTAACTGGAACGTCCCAGGATTCAGCTTTGGTCCAGTTTTTCTATTCACTGTAGCGTACTCTGATCTGTCTGTAGTTAATCTGTCCACTGCAGCGTACTCTAATCTGTCTGTAGTTAATCTGTCCACTGCAGCGTACTCTAATCTGTCTGTAGTTAATCTGTCCACTGCAGCGTACTCTAATCTGTCTGTAGTTAATCTGTCCACTGCAGAGTACTCTGATCTGTCTGTAGTTAATCTGTCCACTGCAGCGTACTCTGATCTGTCTGTAGTTAATCTGTCCACTGCAGCGTACTCTGATCTGTCTGTAGTTAATCGGTCCACTGAAAGCGTATGGTAATCTGTCTGTAGTTAATCGGTCCACTGAAAGCGTATGGTAATCTGTCTGTAGTTAATCTGTCCACTGCAGCGTACTTTGATCTGTCTGTAGTTAATCTGTCCACTGTAGCGTACTGTAATCTGTCTGTAGTTAATCGGTCCACTGAAAGCGTATTGTAATCTGTATGTAGTTAATCTGTCCACTGCAGCGTACTTTGATCTGTCTGTAGTTAATCTGTCCACTGCAGCGTACTCTAATCTGTCTGTAGTTAATCTGTCCACTGCAGCGTACTCTAATCTGTCTGTAGTTAATCGGTCCACTGAAAGCGTATGGTAATCTGTCTGTAGTTAATCTGTCCACTGCAGCGTACTTTGATCTGTCTGTAGTTAATCTGTCCACTGTAGCGTACTGTAATCTGTCTGTAGTTAATCGGTCCACTGAAAGCGTATGGTAATCTGTCTGTAGTTAATCTGTCCACTGCAGCGTACTTTGATCTGTCTGTAGTTAATCTGTCCACTGCAGCGTACTCTGATCTGTCTGTAGTTAATCTGTCCACTGAAAGCGTATGGTAATCTGTCTGTAGTTAATCTGTCAACTGAAAGTGTATGGTAATCTGTCTGTAGTTAATCTGTCCACTGAAAGCGTATGGTAATCTGTCTGTAGTTAATCTATCCACTGAAACCGTATGGTAATCTGTCTGTAGTTAATCTGTCCACTGCAGCGTACTCTGATCTGTCTGTAGTTAATCTGTCCACTGAAAGCGTATGGTAATCTGTCTGTAGTTAATCTGTCCACTGCAGCGTACTTTGATCTGTCTGTAGTTAATCTGTCCACTGCAGCGTACTCTGATCTGTCTGTAGTTAATCTGTCCACTGAAAGCGTATGGTAATCTGTCTGTAGTTAATCTGTCCACTGAAAGCGTATGGTAATCTGTCTGTAGTTAATCTGTCAACTGAAAGTGTATGGTAATCTGTCTGTAGTTAATCTGTCCACTGAAAGCATATGGTAATCTGTCTGTAGTTAATCTGTCCACTGAAACCGTATGGTAATCTGTCTGCAGTTAATCTGTCCACTGCAGCGTACTTTGATCTGTCTGTAGTTAATCTGTCCAATGAAACCGTATGGTAATCTGTCTGTAGTTAATCTGTCCACTGCAGCGTACTCTGATCTGTCTGTAGTTAATCTGTCCACTGAAAGCGTATGGTAATCTGTCTGTAGTTAATCTGTCCACTGAAAGCATATGGTAATCTGTCTGTAGTTAATCTGTCCACTGAAAGCGTATGGTAATCTGTCTGTAGTTAATCTGCCCACTGAAAGTGTATGGTAATCTGTCTGTAGTTAATCTGTCCACTGAAAGCGTATGGTAATCTGTCTGTAGTTAATCTGTCCACTGAAAGCGTGTGGTAATCTGTCTGTAGTTAATCTGTCCACTGAAAGCGTATGGTAATCTGTCTGTAGTTAATATATCCACTGAAAGCGTATGGTAATCTGTCTGTAGTTAATCTGTCCAATGAAAGCGTATGGTAATCTGTCTGTAGTTAATCTGTCCACTGAAAGCGTATGGTAATCTGTCTGTAGTTAATCTGTCCACTGAAAGCGTATGGTAATCTGTCTGTAGTTAATCTGTCCACTGAAAGCGTATGGTAATCTGTCTGTAGTTAATCTGCCCACTGAAAGCGTATGGTAATCTGTCTGTAGTTAATCTGTCCACTGAAAGCGTATGGTAATCTGTCTGTAGTTAATCTGTCCACTGAAAGCGTATGGTAATCTGTCTGTAGTTAATCTGTCCACTGAAAGCGTTTGGTAATCTGTCTGTAGTTAATCTGTCCACTGCAGCGTACTCTGATCTGTCTGTAGTTAATCTGTCCACTGAAAGCGTATGGTAATCTGTCTGTAGTTAATCTGTCCACTGAAAGCGTATGGTAATCTGTCTGTAGTTAATCTGTCCACTGAAAGCGTATGGTAATCTGTCTGTAGTTATTCTGTCCAGTGCAGCGTACTGTAATCTGTCTGTAGTTAATCTGTCCACTGAAAGTGTATGGTAATCTGTCTGTAGTTAATCTGCCCACTGAAAGCGTATGGTAATCTGTCTGTAGTTAATCTGTCCACTGAAAGCGTATGGTAATCTGTCTGTAGTTAATCTGTCCACTGAAAGCGTATGGTAATCTGTCTGTAGTTAATCTGTCCACTGAAAGCGTTTGGTAATCTGTCTGTAGTTAATCTGTCCACTGCAGTGTACTCTGATCTGTCTGTAGTTAATCTGTCCACTGAAAGCGTATGGTAATCTGTCTGTAGTTAATCTGTCCACTGAAAGCGTATGGTAATCTGTCTGTAGGTATTCTGTCCACTGCAGCGTAACGTAATCTGTCTGTAGTTAATCTGTCCACTGCAGCGTACTGTAATCTGTCTGTAGTTAATCAGTCCACTGCAGCGTACTGTAATCTGTCTGTAGTTAATCTGTCCACTGAAAGCGTATGGTAATCTGTCTGTAGGTATTCTGTCCACTGCAGCGTAACGTAATCTGTCTGTAGTTAATCTGTCCACTGCAGCGTACTGTAATCTGTCTGTAGTTAATCAGTCCACTGCAGCGTACTCTGATCCGTCTGTAGTTAATCTGTCCACTGCAGCGTACTGTAATCTGTCTGTAGTTAATCTGTCAAATGCAGCGTACTGTAATCTGTCTGTAGTTAATCTGTCCACTGCAGCGTACTCTAATCTGTCTGTAGTTAATCTGTCCACTGCAGCGTACTGTAATCTGTCTGTAGCTAATCTGTCCGCTGAAAGCGTATGGTAATCTGTCTGTAGTTAATCTGTCCACTGCAGCGTACTGTAATCTGTCTGTAGTTAATCTGTCCACTGCAGCGTACTGTAATCTGTCTGTAGTTAATCTGTCCACTGCAGCGTACTCTGATCTGTCTGTAGCTAATCTGTCCACTGAAAGCGTATGATAATCTGTCCGTAGTTAATCTGTCCACTGAAAGCGTATGGTAATCTGTCTGTAGTTAATCTGTCCACTGCAGCGTACT